AGACATCTTTTGCTCAATAACCTTACGGAGAATTTTTAGTGGCTGAAATATACACTTATCAAACTTCCGTTGCTTTTGTGGTTGTAGTTTACAATAAAACGTACGGACCGCTTTTTTATTGGTTATTTTAGTTTTAAATTTATTTCAATCTGAAAGTTGCTCAACTTACTCTTTTAGGTTCCGTTAATTTCAAATGGTTTTCACTCATAGAATCCATTGTATCAATATTCCATTTATAGTTATTTGTTACTTCAGTCCACATCTAAACCTACTTTTATCACTATTCACCATATAGTCTCATCTTACACTCCTAAATATCTCCTGAACTTCAATTATTTACTTTACTCATCGTCCTTGTTACTCTAATGTAAGAGAAAAACTTTGGCACTGTGGTAGAGTATAATTCTGTATAAGATCATTTTGTGATATACCACATTGTGACATAGTAGAATTTACTGAATGACGTGTCAAGCAGAATAGATCACTGATATTCATATTAATATGAATAAACAATAAATTCTCCTCAAAACTTCATACATTAAAATATATTGTCATTATGTGCTATATCAATGAAATAATCTTATATGAAATCCTTATTAACCTTTGATCCTGTCAGTAATCTCTTGACAATTTGGTTAGTGCAATTACAATTTTTATGATACATAAAACTGAATATTAGTCAGGTTGTAACCAGTTGAGAGGAATTTTAAAAATATTATTAATAAAAAGCTCGTGTTAACCTGCTGTATTTTCTATGTTTATGCTGTTTACATGCGTAAAAAGGAATAATGGTGCGAATATGTTTAGAGAAATTAGACTGAAGGACATATAAGAAACTATAAGTGAAAAACTTGGGCACTGCGGTAGAATGTAGTTCCATATTAGATTTGTTTATTTGATATAAAGCGCACAGTGATACAGTATTATTTACTTGATTACGTTTCGAGCATAAATTATTGCTCATAATCATATCAATGTAATCACACTTCTTTCGACATCTGATTTTATAGTCCTGTCACCTGATCTCTCTTTGTTTTTTTGTTTTTTGATTGGTAGTAAAGTTTTCCATATCTCTGGTATAGGTGTTGCGTCATTCCTATTACATGTGTTGGGTGTGGATTCGATGAACAAAGATTCAGTAATTAATCTCTCTCTCCACCTAGCTATATTAGACTTAAGTACAGTGGTTTTGTCCCATCCTATTGTGTGGTTGTGTGTTAATGAATGTAATGCAATGGCTGAGTGTTTTTCTAGGTTATTGATCTTATTGGGGTCTGTCGTTCTATGTTTAGCTAAATTCCTATGTTCTGTTAATCTAACTGACCCCGACCGGCTAGTTTGACCTATGTATTTGACTTCACAGTCATTACATGGAATTTGGTAGATTATATTATTTTGCTTAATTGGTTCTATCGGATCTTTTAGCCGACACAGCTTACCTCTAAGTGAGTTTGTTGGTTTAAATGCCACCCTAATTCCAACCTTGTTGAGAATCCTACGTATGGTTTCTGATGTTCCTTCCTTGTATGGTATCACAATAGAGGTGCTGATTTCCTTTCTACTTATGTTGTCACTATTATTTGTATTTGTATTAGTGTTATTATTTTGCTTCTTATGCGTCCGTGTGAATTTCTTAATAAAATGATGGGGATAATTATTAGTTATTAACGCTTCTTTTATGTGTTTCAATTCCTTATTTAAGTCCTTACAATGACTAGTGAGTTTCTCAGCTCTGTTATTTAGACATTTGACTAAACCCGCTTTAACTGACACTGGATGAGATGACTTGAAGTCTAGATACCTGTTAGAATGTGTTGGTTTTCTGTAGACGGTAGTATCTAAACCACCATCTATCCTTCGTTTTATTCTGCAATCCAACATAGGTAATTCTCCTTGTTCATTTTCTACTTCGTAGGTGAATTGGATTGCGTTAACTACTGAGTTTATGTGTGTCAAGAAACTGTCGATATGTTCCGATTTCAACACTGTAAATGTGTCATCTACATATCGCCACCATATCTTAGGTGTCGGATTATATGTTCGTAAAGCCATATCTTCCCAACTATCCATAAATATATCTGCTACTATAGGGGATATTGGTGATCCCATTGCTACTCCTTCTGTTTGTCTGTATATCTTTCCCTGAAACTTGAAGACTGTCGAGGTTAAGCATAACTGCACTCCTAACATGATTTCACCAACCGATGCCTTGGATGTTTTGAGTAACAAGTCTTTATACTAAAATACCAATCAATATGGCACTGGAGGCAGTCAGAAATCAACTAGATACTGACTCACAACTTACTCAAAGAACCAAGGCATCGGTTGGTGAAATCATGTTAGGAGTGCAGTTATGCTTAACCTCGACAGTCTTCAAGTTTCAGGGAAAGATATACAGACAAACAGAAGGAGTAGCAATGGGATCACCAATATCCCCTATAGTAGCAGATATATTTATGGATAGTTGGGAAGATATGGCTTTACGAACATATAATCCGACACCTAAGATATGGTGGCGATATGTAGATGACACATTTACAGTGTTGAAATCGGAACATATCGACAGTTTCTTGACACACATAAACTCAGTAGTTAACGCAATCCAATTCACCTACGAAGTAGAAAATGAACAAGGAGAATTACCTATGTTGGATTGCAGAATAAAACGAAGGATAGATGGTGGTTTAGATACTACCGTCTACAGAAAACCAACACATTCTAACAGGTATCTAGACTTCAAGTCATCTCATCCAGTGTCAGTTAAAGCGGGTTTAGTCAAATGTCTAAATAACAGAGCTGAGAAACTCACTAGTCATTGTAAGGACTTAAATAAGGAATTGAAACACATAAAAGAAGCGTTAATAACTAATAATTATCCCCATCATTTTATTAAGAAATTCACACGGACGCATAAGAAGCAAAATAATAACACTAATACAAATACAAATAATAGTGACAACATAAGTAGAAAGGAAATCAGCACCTCTATTGTGATACCATACAAGGAAGGAACATCAGAAACCATACGTAGGATTCTCAACAAGGTTGGAATTAGGGTGGCATTTAAACCAACAAACTCACTTAGAGGTAAGCTGTGTCGGCTAAAAGATCCGATAGAACCAATTAAGCAAAATAATATAATCTACCAAATTCCATGTAATGACTGTGAAGTCAAATACATAGGTCAAACTAGCCGGTCGGGGTCAGTTAGATTAACAGAACATAGGAATTTAGCTAAACATAGAACGACAGACCCCAATAAGATCAATAACCTAGAAAAACACTCAGCCATTGCATTACATTCATTAACACACAACCACACAATAGGATGGGACAAAACCACTGTACTTAAGTCTAATATAGCTAGGTGGAGAGAGAGATTAATTACTGAATCTTTGTTCATCGAATCCACACCCAACACATGTAATAGGAATGACGCAACACCTATACCAGAGATATGGAAAACTTTACTACCAATCAAAAAACAAAAAAACAAAGAGAGATCAGGTGACAGGACTATAAAATCAGATGTCGAAAGAAGTGTGATTACATTGATATGATTATGAGCAATAATTTATGCTCGAAACGTAATCAAGTAAATAATACTGTATCACTGTGCGCTTTATATCAAATAAACAAATCTAATATGGAACATATAAGAAACTATCAGACAGTCTTTTCTTTCAGTTTGTCGAATACTTTATTCATTGCAATGGTCGCTTGAGATTCAGTGTTAGCATAATTTGCCTATCTTTTTAGTGGATTTACTTTGAATTGAAAGATAACAGTAGTATCATACAATTAGAAAAAAGATTTTTTAGAGTTCTGGTCAGATGATATTATGATACATTTATCAACTTTTTAAGATCAAAATGATGGCCAAAAATGTTAACGTTTGGAGGTTACAAAATTTATGAGATACTTTAATCAATTCATGTGAGTCGCTGATAACTGAGTAGGCATCATTTCTTTTTTCGTGGAAAAAAACTATTATTTACAGTTTACCCATGAGGTTCACCATCCCAATGTACCCTAACGGATATCATTTGGATGGAGGCAGTCAGCAGGAAGCCCTGGACCCATGTTTCGTGCTTGTTGGCACTAGTCATCAAGGTGTTTCTGCAACATCTGAAGAACTGATGTCCTGCCTGAAATTCGTACCCACGGAACCCAATTCTGTATTCAGAGACGCTACCAAGGATCTACAGTGATTAGTAACTGATGAACAACCAATTCCATGTTGTTTAATCCTGTATCCTTATTGAATTTTATTGATCGATTTTAAACAATTACCGACAGTAATCTAACTTAACTTTTTTCCCACTAGAAAACAGTTATTCGTCCATAGAACAACATTTACTGGAGTAAAATCATATATCCACTAGAAATAAGCCCATATTTATCTGGTAATTTGATGAAGGTTGGGTGTGAGAAGAGATACATGTCGATGATTGTGCATAATCTAAATAAATCACAAATTGACAGAAATTTAGAAAAGTATGCCAGCAATGCTAGTCCAGTCATTACTTTCACACTACGAGCTGTGACGGTTCTGAGTCAGATCCCTTGTATAGTCCTAGATGCTATCTTTTGACAAGTTTTGATCCAAGATGAAAATACCATCAATTACACCCTGAATCCCAATGATGCAACTATGGTCTAATTCTGATTAAATCCACCTTGAACTCCACAGACCTTTATTTTGAACTACTAACTGTACAATATCTGGTAAGTTATATGTACTTGCAATGGTTGAACTTCTGTTTAATATCTGTAGGTAACAGTTATATTCCACTAAAATCCCCCTAATATAACTTAGTATACTTTTAAGTATAAGGCACTAGTCACTTGCAGTTAATCAATACATTAATTTTCGTGAGCACTAATCACTAGGTCATATCATATCGTATCACTTTTGACCTATTACTGAATCAATAATACAGTCCTCTGATTGATCAGCAAGGTTTCATAACAGGGTTTTAAATCAGAATCAGAAGTATTTCGTCACAGAAAATTTATTTCTACTTCAGCTACTTGTGAAAAACATAAAAATATTAGTTACTTATATGATCTATTATGTAAATGTATGTATATGTTTAAGTGAATTTCTGTAATTCTATTAAAAACATTTGACTATATACAAGAATATATGACACCCTAATCAGTGTAATGAAGGCAGTATGTTGAAAAAAGGTGATTTATAGAAAATTGATGGTTTACAGTATGCTGTAGAGTTTGAATTTTGATTATTCCAGCACTATATTAGACAATTTGTGATAATGTTTCCATGAAATCATCACCTGACATTCGATGGGGTACCTTAAACGATGTTGATAAAATATTAATTCCATCTGGCAGTTTGCATGTATCATCTTTTCCCTGCGTCATGTTTTCAAAATCATCGCTTCCTTCTTCATCATTTTGGTTTAAATGCTGCAGTTTATTCTTCATTCTTAAAGCTTCTTTCTGAAAAATATCTGCACATAAAATATGATCGTGCTGCATATAAAACAATGATGTTAAGTCTAGAGGGACAGGAAAAATTATTGTTGATTGCTTCCCCGATGAAATACTGTTTACTGTCTGTAAATAGCGTAACTGCATAGCGATTGGATGTTGTTTAATTTCTACAGCAGCCGCTTTCAAAGCACCAGAAGCACGCATTTCTCCTTCAGCTGCTATAACTTTTGCGGTCGCCTCTCTTACGGACTCTGCTTCTGCCGCCATCGCCCTTTGAAGTTGAATGGGCAATCGGACATCCTTGATTTCAACTCTCTCAACTTTCACACCCCACGCTTCTGTAACTGAATCTAAACATTCCTAAGGAAAAAACAAAAGTAAAACATGACAAATACTAATATGCCTGAAGTAAGACTATTTAAACAATTAACAAGAAGAAACTGTCGCAGTATTTCATGACAGTAAAACAACTTGGAAAATATCAGTGAATATGAATTTATTTTTTGTGAATCAAAACATTTGGATATAAGTTGAAGCGCAAAGCATATATTACCCGAGTCCATTCCGAGAATGTTGACCGATTTCACAAGCGCGTTAAGCGCATTTAATAGAAGGTGAATATTATTATTCGTTATTCAACCGTCCACATATTGCATTAACCAGAAACCTACACTACTGTTATCGGCTTTAAGTCTTTCATCTTATCACATTTTTGAGTCCTATGTATTCACGCCACCACTAACCAGCTTTTCACATCTTAAATGTCACCCACTTTTGTAATAAATTTAGATTTCGCTCAGTGTAATGTTCGTCAAATGAGGTGAAATATTTATCAGGATGGGTATTCTGTTTACAAAGAGCATATATCGTACTCAGAGCAATCGCAATATAAATTCCTCACTTGGAAACATTGAATATGCTGTTAAAGCTTATTATGCAAATTAGGGAGCTTACACTCCAAGGTGAAAGACATCACTAAACGTAATGTGCAAAGTCTTACAAACAGCGATAAATACGTTTTTTACAAACAAGTTTTTATCAACTCATAACAGTTTAGTATTCTACTCTATTCATCGATAGAAAAAGCGAATATGGTGTCAAATGTTGGAGATAATTTAAAGCAAAAACGATAAAATCAGTGAAAACACCAATGTTTCATCGAACTAGAATGGCAATATTGACAGCACCAGCTGAGTTGGTAGAGCCGGGGACTCGGTAGTCGCTGGTTCGAATCCAGTCGCGGTCCAAATTTTTACTTCACCTTTAACCATCACCCAGTATAAATACTAGTCTGCCAAACCATGGCTATCTCAAATAGTCGCAATGATATATATATATATATATATATATATATATATATTACTGCCCATATCCCTTATAAGGTATTTCCCACTTAAACTGCTGGAATTATTTTTAAATAATTGAACTGGCATAGCGACAAACAGTGTCTTAGCGTGACTGTTGACATTTTCATAACAGAAACAGGAATGAAAAAAAATTGAAAAGAAATAAGTTTTATCAAAGTATTTCACTTTCACGACTTCTAATAATTTAGTAAGTGCGTCTGTGTACCTGGTTTTGTTAAAGATTAAATATCAGGCGCCCTATAGAAGTGTTATTTGATGCACACACTTTGAATATCTTTACACAAAATTTGATTCTCAGCTCCACATAAAAGAGTTAGTAAACATATACAACTACTTATAAGCATGAAATAGTAATTTAACTATTACCATGTTTAGAACTTATTTATGTCGTTGAAAGTCACCAACAGTTTTTAAGTCTTATCTCTGTCTGGTCTACAAGTGAGGTTGTAAAGTTGATGAGTATGACAGTGGTAGGTAATGCGGTTAAAAAGGTTTACAGGAATGCTATACATTTGGACAACCATTAGTAGTGTGTTTGTGAACTTGGTGAAAAGATTAAACAAGTTATTGAGAGAGATTAAAAACATTATACTTAAGTTTCAAATAAAAGGTTGTGTTGTACTAATGGCATAACAATCTGAATAATTCCTCACTCTTTTCCGTTCATCTTTTTCCAGTCATTCTTAAAACTATTACTTATGCTGACTACATTCAGCCTTACATACAAAATTTCACACTGGGTACTTTGTTATGATTCTTATATACTGACTAGTCCTAATAAAACTAAGCTTGGTCATCAGTTTCTTCAGGTTTTCGTGAATCGGTGACTCAGTTCATAATATCCGCATTAGATGAACTTTATTGAACCCCATTAAAGTGATGCCTAGCATATTCATATCGCTTTGATCTGTGACATCAGCATTAAATTTATTTAGGCTCCGTTTTATTTTATCAGCACAACTACTTTGTTGAGCCAGAAACAGATGCACTCTCGTTTGGAATGGACTAAATAAGTACAGTGAAAATGTTTAGCTTTTGGAAGTAAACCTAATTGAAACAAGAAAATCATAGCACCTTACCACCATGTAACACGATATGAAGTTTCTACGAAGTGAAAATTTGATAGACCTAATTAAGGTAGCGTATTTCCTTTATTCAGTTACTCAAAAATCTTATACATTCCCAGTAAATATGCAGCTTTCAATTTAAATGCTAATGAATCGGTTACATTCAGTATGAATTAGACAAGAACACGAGAATACTATAAGGCTCTATATCTCGTCATTATACCTCGTTACTTTATTATTATGTGCTTGTCTGAGGGAAAGCACCCTTCTTAAGCAAATGTGTATTCATTAAAGGTGGATTGACAACCAAATTGGTGATAATTCGTTCTATCTTCCAACTAATTGAGTAAAGGATCTACCAGTTTATTTGTAAAAATCAGCTGCTGATAAGATCTCAATTTTTCTCCAATTTCTGAGGACATATTTAATTTATTTGCTAAAAATACAAAACCACCAGAATTTCAATGATGTGGACCGCAAAAGTGATGTTCAGTGGTTGGCTTTGAATTGGTGCACAATATACACTCAATTTCTAATTATTAAATATGTAAACTTATCAAAAAGTTTAAACTAATCCTTAGTTCTAAAAGTTGCGTAACCTCCTACACTCTAATGGGAAAGACAAGGCCATCTTATGTTTGACTGAGTGATAAACTATCGACTTCTCAGTTTTTATCGTGTGAGAAACTTCAGGACTTATTTCTAGAACAACCTTCGCCTTCTGATTCAAGACACTTGATTGGTGCCGAAAGATGCAACATTAGCCTTGAAGTTTTCAGTATTACATTCTGGAAGATCGACTAAATGTGACCCCATCCTTCAAAAGTGATGATTCGCTTGACTTTCAAATTTGTTCTTGTACCTGGATGTGGGTGACAGGAGAAATACAGTAAGCATGACTACTTCAGTTTTTCTGCTTAATTTTTTTTAAAATAATCATGAAGTTACTGCCAATGAAGTAAGCGAGTTTAATGATTAGAGAACGCTACAATCACACATCAAAGCGAAAATAATTTCAAACAGTTACTAGATTTAGTAATGATTCATATAGATAACAAGTTTATTCAGAGATCTTGTTGAAAGTAATGAAATGTGAAGGTATTTTTATTATGTCAGTTGGTAAGAATTTAAAGTTATACAAAATACAAAATTGCTTGCTTTCCTCCTGTGTCTTGATTTTCGCTCCACATTAACATGTAAACCTTACGGTTGGTAAACGGATACTATTCCAGCAGCAGTTCGCTAGCCAGCTAACAGTTATTATTAATGAAGAGAATTATGAGCAGAGACCAGGTTCTGAATTATTAATAAATGTGGTAATTAAACAAGGTTGAAAAACAATATTACTACGTAGAAGCAGTATTCATCATGGACTGACATCAGTTGAGGAACCATTGAAAATCTGGGAGCACTGGACAGCTGTTTCGTCCTTAAAAAAAATCCCCACTCATCTCAAAAATATAATATTACTATGTATTAGATTATTTTCTAATAGATTTCTAAACGATATTTATAGAGGCGTAGAATATTGTTACTACCATCAAACATATCTTTCGAGGATTTCGATTTAAAGAGAAATAACATAAAGTTAGGAAGATAGAAATGTCAGAGGACAACAACCATCTATCAAAGTATACCGCGATGTTGACCTGTCTAATCCGGTGGCCATATTGCGAAATGACCCATAGGATTCGGTCAGCACTTAGGACTGGATAACATGAAGTTAGTAACTCTCCAGTGAGTAGTCACTGCATCTATTCTAGTCCTACAGGAAGTCAGTCTTGGCCTAGGAAGCCCAGTGGTAACGTCGCTGACTGTAACATCAGGTGACGTGGGTTGTAGTTCTAGGCGGGACACTAGTTCCATCGGAGTTGCAGACATACTACCTGATGAGTGCCCACAAGCACGAAACCTAGGTCCAGGCCTTCCTGCTGATTGGATCCATCCAACTAACGGACGAAACAGCTTCACTTTGTTTGAAAATGCTTTGTTCATCTTAGAAGTAACAAGTTATTGAATTCGGCAAATAACAAGTATTCAGGTAATAGTAATAATAGTTTCCAAATTTCTCCCAGTGAAAACAAATAATGAGAACAGTATGATAGTGAATACATTTAAACAATCAATATAAGTTGGAACTTTGAAAACAAAAGTAGTATAATACTTAGAAATGATGAATGATATATATATGAAAGAAATGCAGAAAAAGATATGGGCTGAACACCTACGGCAATAGACAGAAAGGGGAAGTAAATATGAAGTTTAATTCTGTCACATTTTTTTGAAATGGTCGTGTAATAGATAAGTTCAGAGCATTCAGAATAATCAGTAGCATTGCTCAAAACTGTAGAGAAGGTTTCATATTCGTTCAAGTAGAACACTCGGGAACTGAAGGACGAAACTACAAAGGAAATCTTTACGTCAGTCAGTCATCAAGACAAAATGGGAGATATCGAGCAACATCCCTGAAGAAACCTGTGTGGGAGAACACTAGAAGTCTTTGAAAGCTATGTGGAAGGAAACCTGCATAACCAAGCGTATTAGTAAGGAAGAAGAAAGAGGATAAGGAATGGATCTCGACGGACACATGAAAGCTGAAAGAGGAGAAGAGAGGAGGATAGTGAAACAGAAGATAAATCAGTGCAAGGATGCTCAACGAGAAGAGGAACTGAATACAATGTATAAAACACTACACTGGACAAAGAAGTGAAGAAGAGGACAAGGACAAAAGACACTTCTATGACACATTGGCAAGTGAAGCAGAACAGGCTGCAGGTAAGAGAGACCTGACAAAATTGTATCAAATAAGCAGGTTACTATCTGGGAAGAGATCAACACAGATGAAACCAATAAAAGATGATGAAGGAAATAAAATTGCCAAAGAAGAGAAACAGAGGAAACGGTGTGATGACCACTTCAAGAAGCT